ATAAAGACAGAGTCAATGTTGGAAGAAACGTTATCTTTATTTTGTACATCAATAAGAAGGGGGGCTAGGGAAGGGCAAGTGGAAGGAGGCGAGGGAGGAATGGGGTACGAGCCCCCGATGGGGAGGACTCGGCTGGCTCTGCGGGCTTCTGGGGGGGGAACCTCTCCTGCAGCCCCCCAATTGCCCCCTCTCCCCAGATGGCAGCCTGCGGTAAGTGTAGCCGGGCTGATGGCCGAGTGCTGTGATGTGCCCAGTGTGGGTAGTCCGGGCAATCCAAGCCAGGACTGCTTTGCAAGCGGGGCACCCCTGAGAACTGTCTGTCTGGGGTGGGGGTCGGGACCCTTTAAGCACAGCCCTCGGCTAGCCTGAGACAGCATCTCCACGCTCTTAAGTCCTCCTCTGATGCCCTGTCGGCACTGCTTCCGGCCATCCTTAAGCCTGGTTCAGGGTCCACTTAATGTGGACATGCTAGTTCAAAATAGCAAAACGCTAATTCGAACTAGTTTTTTGGTCTGGATCCATTAGTTCGAATTAGCTTAGTTCGAATTAACTAATTCGAACTAAGTTAGTTGGAATTAACATTGTAGTGTAGACATACCCTATGTGTATTCCATTGTGGGCACTCAAGCGCCTGGGACTGAAGAATTTTGAAAGCGGTGTCCATTGTCCGGCACTTCTTGCCTCTGACTGAGGAAATAAAGGTGGGGTGGACCGGTTGCTGCTCCAGTGTCTTCTCGCTGCCTCGTGATCCAAGTTGGAACCTCCAGTGGCCAGAGCTTTGGCTTTCTTCTTTATCTCTGAAAATAGGTTTAGCGATCTGTGAATAGTTTGCATATTCTAGAGTTTTGAAGTTTCTCTCTGATAGTTTAGTAGTTTTTAGTTAGTCTGTCAGCCTCCCTGAGCTAGGTAGCGCCCTTCCCACTCCTTCCCCACCAATGGACTTGGTATTGGACTAAGACTACTCTGGGCTTTTTGCCCACGATCCTTCTCAGTTAGCATTGCTGGTTTTTGCTGACTGAGAGAGATCACTGCGAGGTGCAGTATCTGCTGTTCATTCCCCAGCTGTACCTGGGAACTTTGCCTTAGGTCACAACTGGATCTAGCAGGCCAGGTAATTACTGGAATGAGTTACCTAGGGAGGTGGTGGAATCTCCGTCCCTAGAAATTTTTAAGTCCCAGCTTGACAAAGCCCTGGCTGGGATGATTTAGTTGGGATTGGTCCTGCTCTGGGCAGGGGGCTGGACTTGATGACCTCCTGAGGTCTTTTCCAGTGCTTGGATTCTATGATTATATGAATTCTACCCCCTTATACATTGGCTTGACTTAGCAAAGGTGGCTACCTTCACATGGTGTCTTGCTGGGAGAGCAGGGAGTATTTTCATAAGCATGAAGCCATGTCTTCCTCATAACCCTCTTTGAAGAAGTAAGACCCAGGCCAGTCTAAATTCAGTCCAAGATAACTTAGTATGGCCTGAGTCTCAGAGGCATGAGAAGAAACCCCACAATTGTGGCATTAAACTGTGTACTTGTCAAATCAGCAATCTGAGCACCATGGTAACTTTTCCCCCCATAGAGATATCGCCCCGGTCATCATGGAAGAATCCCCATCAGTGTTTCCTTTCTCCCTTCCACACCAGACAGGACGAGCACTACCAGTGTATTCCTGTTAGGTAAAGGAGCTCACATGGACAACTGCACAGTGCAAGGTACCTGGACATCTCCAGTGTCCAGGGTGCACATCGAGAGCTATGTGCAGCTCAAAGGCCTGTGAAACCTTTCTCCTTATTCAAGAATTGTGTGGTCATTATGTCACACATCTCAATCGCCTTTTATGTAACGAAGAGGGAGAAGTGAGATCTGCCGCCCTGTGTGCAGAAGCGCCAAGTCCGTGGAACTGGTGCGTCAGCAATCGGATTATCTTTTTGGCAATTTACCTCCCAGGAATCCAGAATGAGCTAGCAGGCTCTTTCAGCAGCCACATTGTAAGCCACAAGTGGAAGCTTCACGATGCTGTGGTAAATAGGGATGTGAAAGTGTAAACATCTATGTGGTTAACCGATGGCCTCATTGGTTAACTTTCATGGTTACATGCATCTTCCCTCCCCCCCCCCCCCCCTCGGCCCCCCTCCTGCCACTGCCTGAAGAGAGCCAGTATGTGTGGGGAGCCTGTTTAAAAGCTGGCTCCCAATATGCACTGGATCCTGGGGAGTCCCCTCCCCACCGCCGCGTGTAAACACATTTACCTAAATAAACCCGTTTTCACATCTCTAGTGGTAAACAATATTTTTGCTTTAGGGGGCATGCCTCACCAGAAATGAGTTATGAGTTGGGGTGGGAGTGCTGGGCCTGATGATAGCAATGATTAGCTGCATTTTATAGGAGATTTCCCCCAAAGGGACTTGTGAATGACCCATAAGGGATTTGAGGATCATCTGTTAAACTGTATGTGGTCCTGTGAATTGGTGCATTATCCTTGTGTCTCCAGCTCCCAAAAGTTTTATAATTCTCCCAGCCTGACAAACCACGATGATGATGGCCTTTCTTTTTTTCCCTCCTGGGAAGAAACTGTACAAGACGTGTCGGGTGATGCAGGAGAGGATTGTGGAGCTGCTGCTGGCAGTGCAGAATGAAGATGTGGTAGCTGAATTAATACAAGTGAATGAAGAGCTGAATAACGTTCTCCTGGGACATGAAAGGTAAAGATATTGGTGAAGCCAGAACCTGTCTTTTCTTGTTTGGTCTTGGTAACAGGTTCTCCTGAGTGGGCCGACCAAATCTGATTCGTTTTTTAAACACTAATGCGTGTATGTCGCAGTTCAGGGCAGGTGCACTGTATCCTGTGCTCCCTCTAAGATTTTCCATCTGTGAGCAGAGTGAGTTTTGTCATGTGCACTTGTTTGGGTGTGTACCACTGTGGCACCCACCGGTTACTAAGGATATGTCTACACTAGCCCCCTTGTTTGAACTAGGGAGGCTAATGTAGGCATTTGAAATTGCAAATGAAGCCCGGGATTTAAATATCCCTGGCTTTATTTGCATGTTCCCGTCCAGTCGCCTGGAATGAGGTATAACAGTTAATTCGAAATAAGGACTTAGTTCGAATTACCATTTCACTGCCCCTTGTAGCCGCGGGCAGTTACTTTGGACTAGTGGAATTTCAAAATGGCAACCGGACGGGAACATGGAAATAAAGCCCAGGATATTTAAATCCCGGGCTTCATTTGCAATTTCAAATGCCTACATTAGCCTCCCTAGTTCAAACAAGGGGGCTAGTGTAGACATATCCTTAGTAACCGGTGGGTGCCACAGTGGTACACACCCAAACAAGTGCACATGACAAAACTCACTCTGCTCACAGATGGAAAATCTTAGAGGGTGCACTGGATACAGTGCACCTGCCCTGTATACCCACTCTGAAAAACACCCAGCTTGCTGGCCTCTGCCCCCAACACATGCTGTGCGCGCTCCACTGCCTGTGCCCGGTTAGGACCACACGGAGCCAGCTGGTACCTGTGTAGGTCTGGCCAACTGCCTACCCCCACATACACCTGTGGTTGCAATCTGCCTCCACATATGCACCTGAATATATACCAGGGCCATGCTATCTGCCCCAAACACAAACAACCAGTACCTGGGCCACAGACCAAGCACCACTGCCCAGAAACCTGTGCCCAGCCCCACATTACACCTGTTCTCCCCCTCCCTCCCAGAATTTACCTGCACCCAGTACCTCCCACCACCACCGAGGCATTGGCAGATCCTTTATGCCTCGTGAAACGCTGTGTCGACAAACAGCTGATCGGCACAGCTCAGCGGCCATTTTGATGTAAATGAATGTGCCTCTTCAGCATTGTCTACACTGGGTGTTTTCAGATCTGCAATTTGCATTGGGTGCGGCTCCCTGCGTAATAGCCCTGGTGGAAGTTGCAGTGTAGAAAAGGCTCAGACGTTTTATCCCTATGTAATCTGACTTAAAACATTCAAGGATTCCAATTGTAGCAATTGTAGCATCCCTTCAGCTGTACCTGCCGATCTGTATCAGCTGAAACAATTCCTTTGTTGTGCCTTGCACAGATGCATGGTTAATCCAGCCTCACCCCTAGGATGTTTCCTTCAAGGCCCATCCGTGAGGTATTGTGAACAGAAAGCTTTGCCATTTTTAAAAATCAAAATGTTGCCTTCATGACATCCTGAAAGTTAATGAGTTGCCAGAAAATTGTATTTTGTACTGCCATTCCTCTGGCTACATCTTAGTTACTATGGCGTATGACGTAAAGAATGATCTCATTAGAAGCAACAACTTAATGAGTAT